TGCACAGTTAGTGAGAGGGGGGGGGGGTTGGTAGGGGCGGAGCAAAGGATGCCTAGCGCAGTAACGGATGGTGCGATCAGTATCTAGAGCCAGAGAGAGAAGGAGGACGTCTATATGCAGGCAACGCGACTCTCTTGTTGGGTGGTGGTGTCCCAAGTGCTGAATTTTGTCGACGGTACCACGAGACTGATATGCGAGAAACAGCACGGTCGTACAACGTGGTACGGTTGACGGTTGTGTGCGGTACGTGACGCGGGAGGCAAGGACGCCTCGCGGGACCAGCAATTGTAGTGCTGGGCAAAGGATTCGCCCAGGCCGTAGGTACCGCGTGTAAGCAGCGAAGGGTGTGTACGACGCGGCTACGTTCGGTGCGGCGGTGATGTAAGTGCAGTCCATGCAGGCGGTGGGCTTGAGGAGTTTCAGTAGTGCCCGGGCACTCCGCAGCGGGAGACTAGCCATCATGGCACCTGGGCTACCTGCCTGCTTGCCTGCCTGCCTGCCTGCCTGCCTTCGAAAGATCCGTGGACCAAAAAAAAACAAACGAAACTGTCAACACCTGTCCCATAAACCACCGATTGAGAGACCCTTACTGCTGCTGCTGCTGCTGCTGCTCCACTTGCTGTTCTACTTGCTACTGGGATGATCCACTTGCTGTTCTACTTGCTACTGGGATGATCCACTTGCTGCTGCTGCTGCTGCTGCTGCTGCTGCTCCACTTGCTGGTCTACTTGCTACTGGGGTGATCCACGTGTATGCCGTATATAGGTGTGGAAAACGCTTGCGGCCGTGCTCCACATGTCCAACGTCGCCTTCGAGGGGAAGGATGACGCTCAGGGGGAGGTGGCCGCCGTCAAAGACCCAGCGGTAAGTTAGTTTTCTAGTGCGTGCTCGCATGTAGAAGGCCACAGCCCCCTAAGGATGTATCACCAGCGTGGGATACAGCGAGCCGGGCACGCCGTACTCTATCGCGTAATCCTTTTATACGTAAACCGTTGCTTGTTGGCTGTCTCCCGAGTTGTATTGTACACACACACACACGCTCAATACCCCCCCCCCCCCCTCTCGCATGCATGCTTGGTTGGCATGCTGTGATGGCGAGGGCACGCGAAGATGAATAGACGTAGCGATTTGATCTCGGTGCCGAGGGAAAGGGAAGATGCAAACTATAGCCCCCCCTCTATCTCCCCCACCCCGAAAATACAGCCTGTTTTGTTTTCACGCGTGTCGACTTTCCGGTCCCCGCCCGGCCACCTCTTCCTGTGCTTCACACGGCGAAATGCTTTTCTTGACAAAAGCGTCGAGCTTGAGGGATCCCCGCAGCGATGCAGCGCTGTGCCTTCGTACTCTTACCCCCGTGAGGATGATAACCGGGTTCTGCTTCATCCTTGTGAGACGTGGCCCGGGCCGGCGACAACCAGGGTTGTTACCTCTCCGTACCGGCGTTGTCTAGGGATGCGAGGTCAATGGTCTGGCGACGACGGGACGCGTGCGTGTACACCTCAATCCTTGAGCCGTGTTGAGGTGACCTCTACATAAAATAAACCCTTTGCCGGCCTTGGCCTTTTCTTCGTGTTTTTTGGGTGTGGTGGCTGCTGCGCGCACGCGTGCTGAATGGACTGCGGCGTGGCGGACGTCTGCCCGCCGCCCAGGCCTTGAAGAAGCTGTCGGCATTGCTCGGCGTGGAGACTTCGCTGCTGGAGGCCATGCTGACCCAGAGGGAGGTGAAGACGATGGCGGAGACCTTCACCAAGAAGCTGGAGGTGCAGGACGCGAGCCTCACCCGCGACGCGATCGTCAAGTCTCTCTACGAGGTGGGGGGCGCCAAGGCGTTGATACCGTAGGTGGCGTGAAGATATCACCCCCCCCCCCCCCCTTGTGACGGAAGAAATCACACCCCCTTGGGTCGGTGTGAGGCGGGGACCCCTTAGCGGGGAGGCTCTGGTTGGTGTTGCTGTTTTTATTTGTAGTGCCCATCCAATGTGTACATACGTGCCATGAATCGCCGTGAATCAGTCCCGTACGTTCGTTGAGATTGTTGATCAGCGCACTTTTGGGGGGGGGGGGGGGCCCCACGTTGCTTTCCGCCCAAAATGTTCGGGTGCGGCGGTGGCGGTGCGGGCGGTTGCGGTTCTGCACGGTGATTGGCTCGGTTTTTGCCTGTGAAACCCTCTTTTCCCTGTTTTTGTTATTGTTCCCGCGCATGGGTTTTCGGTTTTTGAACAGGCGTTATTCCTGTGGAATCGTGCGGATCATCAACACGTCGCTGGGGAAGGGGGAGGAGAGCTTGCCGTTCATCGGGGTCCTGGATATCTTTGGTGAGTAGTCGCGCACTGATTTTTTTTCTTTTTTTTTTTGCGATCAATGTCCCTGCCGTTTCGGTTGGAACGGTGCTTCTGCTGTTGTGGTGGCGGGGTGTGTGTGTGGCAACGGTAGAGGGAGGATTGTGCGGAGGTGCTGATTTGGCTCGCGTGTCGGGAGCGGAGGAGGCGCAGCAGCGGTGGCAGCGGTGGCGATACGCTGAAGTGGGGCGGTCGACCGTAAATTTGGTGCTACACGACCGAATCCAATTGTTACTACTCATACCAGTGAAGTATCTCGATGTCCAGCAGTTCTCCTTTTTATGAGCTACTCTACCTCTCCGCCTTGGATGTATTGCCTAGTGCGGCTCACCACCCGGAACCAGAAAGGTGGGCGTTTGCACTGCTGCTTGAGTGGTTGTCGTGTTGATCGCCCCCGCCGTCCCCTATCCCCGACCCTAACCCTATAACCGTGCCAAAACGACAAAAACAGGTTTCGAGAACTTCGACACGAAGAACGAGTTCGAGCAGCTGCTCATCAACTTCACCAACGAGAGCCTGCAGGACACCTTCAACAAGCAGGTGTTCAGCAACGAGCTCCGCCTGTACGAGGAGGAGGGGATCGACGTGGTCGTGTCCAGCTGCCCCGACAACGAGGAATGCCTCAAGATGCTCTCTAGCAAACCCAAGGGCATCATCCCCAGGTAACCTTTGTGGCCGCTTCCCTTCCTCATTGCTGTTTACCCCCGGCTGGTGGTGCGTCCGGAAATTGTTCCGAAAGGTGCCATAAATTATTCCGAAATGTGCAATAGACCGACGTTCAGAATACATGGGATCATGATCCAGAAAAAGCAACATGAGTGGGGGTTTGGTGTATTCGCGGGCGGGGGGGTGGTTGTTGTTGGTGTAGAGGTAAGGTTAACCGTGGCCGCAGTGTTCACCAGAGGTATACCATTGGCTCTGGGTTCCCTCAAACTTCGGAACGGAGCACGGCGTTAGGGTGGCAAGGATAAGGGAGGCGGGCGGGCTGCTTGTCTGTGGCGGGGTTACATGGTTTGGCCGTTTTTGTGCCTGTTTATTTTGGTGGCCTTTCTATATACTCCCGGGGGGAGAGAACGCGTTGAGAAAGATTGACGTATTGGAAAAAGGTGGAATAGATCCGGGAAGGCTCTGTTGTCCTAGTCGCAGTTACTCTGCCCCCACCTTCGGGAAGCGAATTTGTACATCACGTTCCCGTTGATTTTACGCGCCCATCACGGGCATTCTCTCGTCTCTGTTCCGCGGTGTGATGGTTTCGATCATTTTATTTTGCGCGCAGCCTGGACTGCGTGTGCTCGGAGCCCAAGCCTACCGACGCGAGGTACCTGGACGGGCTCCACAAGACGTACGTGAGGCATCAGCACTTCCCGAGGACCAAGCCAAAGGACATGGTGAGCGAGAACTATTAATACTGCCATTACTTCGGAGTGAGGGGAAGGTTTTCTTGCCGTGGTGGCCGCGGCGGCGGCGGCGGCGGCTGAGGCAGCAAGGTTAAGGTGTTCTTGCGGCCTTCCCCGGCTCTCGACAGAATATCCGATCCCGTGTGCGTGTCTGCATGCACGCCTGCCGAGTGTTTCCTCTCGCGTAATGAGTGCCATTTTTCATAGGCTCCTCTTTTCACCCTCGCTTGTTGTTCCGCGGCGAGTCTACACCTGCGTCGTTGTGACTGTTGGCCTCCTCACAATTACCATCCACCTACAGCAGTAGACTCTCCCCTTTACACATATTGCGTTTTGGTATTTTCTTGCAGGATTGGGGCTGGTACGTTCCACCATGACCCCAAACCCTCTGTAGCGGTTTGCTTGCCGTCCTCGCCCTTGCCATCGTGTTAATCAATCCGCCCTTCCACCTCCCCCATTGTCTAACATCGAAGGCGTGCGAAACATGAGTTGTACGCCCCCCTCTCTTCCTTTCTCCCCTCCTGGCCTTTGCCCGAACCTTTTCCTTCCTAGCGCGAGTGCTTTTCGGTGAAGCATTACGCCGGCACGGTGAAGTACACGGTGGAAGGGTGGGTGGAGAGGAACATGGACAGCATTCCCGTCGCGTTCGCGGCATCTCTGGGCACCAGCACCCATAAGGCAAGCCCGCTGGAGTTCGGGAGGGAGATTCAAAGACACGAAGACAGGAGATAAAGAACGCGTGTGTGTGTTGGAGGGGGCGGGGGGAGGGGGGCAGTCGGACGGAAGACAGACACAAGAGAGAGAGGGAGAGAGAGAGAGAGAGAGAGAGAGAGAGAATCAGAGACACAGGAGACTTGAAACCTGACAAAGGCAAACGCGGGGAGGGGGTGTCAAGGGAACACCCTCCACCCTCCATTCCCACCGAACGCGCACCCCCATCACACGACATCCATTGACCGTCGCCCCCTGCCCCCCCCCCCCC